GTGGGTTCGTGTCGGGCCGCGGCCCCGGCGGCGGCCGGGGATTTCCCCCCTTTGGGAACGGCCCCGCGCCCGGGGCTCCCGAGAGAAGCGGCGCGCCGTCGCTGCTCACCGGCCACGTCCCGGAGGACAGGCCCGGGGGGCAGAGGTTCCAAGAGCATTCGTGCCTGGAGAGGGGCCTGGCGCCCACCCACACGGGCTTTGCTGCCCGGTGGGCCGCGACCTTGAATTTGATCCGGTCCGAGAGGCTGGGGATCATCAGAGGCTTAGACCCGGTGGAAAGGCCGGGTTTTGTTTCGCGGTTATTTAATGAGCTGTAAAGAGGCATCCTGTGCAGACGCTGCCTGTGTGTCTGTGGAGGGCTGCTGGACTCCGGCAGATTTGTGTTGATTCCTCGCCCTTCCATTCACTCCCTAATAAACAAGGATCTGTGGAAAGCCAATCTGTGTGCTTCTATTTTTAGAAACTTGATGATGGGCACTTAAACAACTCCCTGGGTTCTCCAGTTCAAGCCGACGTGTACTTCCCACGACTGGTAAATCAATGTGCTCAGCGTCTCTACCTTTATGCCTTCCTTTCTGTTGCATTTTTCTTGCTTTCTGGTGGGTCAGGGCCTCAGGGCCGAGGGCTTGGCTCTTCGTAAACTTCCTGTTTGTGCCCTCCTCTTTTGCAGATAGTTCCATTTTGTGGGCACATTAAGGGTGGCATGCGACCAGGCAAGAAGGTGTTAGTGATGGGCATCGTAGACCTCAACCCAGAAAGGTAAGGACAGAGCCCTGCAGTTGCTGAGCTGTGGCTGCCTCCTCCTCTTCAGGGTTGCTACTTAGGAGCGCCAAGAAAGTACCATGTTCCCATGAAAAGAATGTGTATGAATCCTAGCCATCATCTCGCTAGATAGCTATTTATATCAGCAATGACAAAAATAGGCCTACAGTTTCTCTTTGCCCCTTGAGGAGGCCAAAAGACTTCATTTTCTTTTTTATGGTTTTGAAACATCGTAAAAGCCATTAGAATAAATAAGAACCAAACTTTACAAGATATTTCCCTTGTCAACTTCTGGAGCTGTTTTGGAGAATTCTGAAATGGATTGAGGCATGGGTGGCCTGGGCATTTGAAGGCTTCAGTTGCAGTTATTTTCAGTTACAGTAACATTTTCGCCAGAGCCTGCTTTAGGTAACAAAATCTATTGGTCTGGGTGTAATCTTCTCGGTGTTTAAACTCTGTGTAAACAGTAGCAGCCCATTACAAGCAGAGGAACCCACACCGGGAGGAACTGGGTCAAATTAAATGTTACATCTAACTCCAGCTAAGTGACACTTTCTTTTTAGCTTTGCCATCAGCTTGACCTGCGGTGACTCGGAAGATCCCCCTGCCGATGTGGCAATCGAACTCAAAGCTGTGTTCACAGACCGGCAGCTCCTCAGAAACTCGTGTATCTCCGGAGAAAGGGGGGAAGAGCAGTCGGCAATCCCGTACTTCCCATTCATCCCGGACCAGCCGTTCAGGGTAGGAACCTCGAGAGCCTGAGCGCAGGGTTGGCAGGGCTGCTGCAGACTCCTTATCTACTGGGTGCCAAGAGCTCTTCAAGAATGTCTTGGTGTCCAAGAAACTTGTCAGCCCGCTGTGAGAAAAGAATAAAAAAACAAAAGAGATGTGCTTGCTGATAGGCGTTAGTGCTTACCACAGTAGCTCTTGATTCTGTTCAGCCCATGTGTTTAGTTAATGGATGCCTGTGTACATACCTAATTGCTGAATCCTTAACCACAATTCTACTTAGCCGATACGGAGGTATTAATTATTTATTTGTTTACTTTGGGGGCGGTAGTGGAGATGGAACTCAAGGCCTTGTGCACATTAGGTAAGGTCTGCCATCTAGCTACGATCGCAGCCCTCTTTTTTTGTTTCTATTTTAAAACAAGTTCTCCCTAAATTGCCCAGGCCGGCCTTGAATTTCTAATCCTCCTGGCTCAGTTTGCAGAGTAGCTGGCATTATAGACCTGTACCGTCAGGCTAAGCTGGGAGTACTTAGTCAATAATTTTCTGTGTAATTCCCAGCATAGTGTTAGGCACGCAGTGAAAACCCACCTCAAGTGTCTGATTCATTATTAAATATTAATAAGTATCCAGAATTTTCCTGTTTTTCAGCCTTTGAGTAGCTCAAAATCTTATTGGTTTTGGGTTTAAAACAATTTAGTGATTATTATTTCATCTGCTCTCATTCCCTTTGCTAATGAGTCCATATTTGTGTATTTATTTTCCCCCGTGGGTTAATTAAGCCTGTCTGTCTCATGGTCACAAGCTGTGTAGCTGACACATTTCTTCCCTTGGGCTTGGTTGGATATTAGAGGTTTGCTCCTTCTGTGTCTCGCCATCTCCTCACCATCTCCTCACCATCTCCTCGGGCAGCAGTAGCAATACACTCCTCTGCAGGGCACTGCCATGTAAGAGGTTCAAGTCGGCCATATGAAAGTGCCTGCTGACGTGTCGGGCCTGGTGACGATCTTACCGCACTTCACAATAATGGCAGCTTGGTTAAAGGCTCCGTGCTACAGTAAGCCAGAGCAGACAAAGCTGCTCTTAACGCCTTGTTCTTCATGTGGAGCTTCTCAAGGCCTCCCTCCGGACTCTTGCTCTTTCCTTAGAGTCTAAGGCAAAATAAAAATCCATAACTTTTTTATATCAGTGATAGAAATGAATGAGATTATTCCCCTTGTAACCCTAACCTAGGAAGTTAGGCTTTCCCTCAGTCCTCCTTTAGAATGGTAAGTCCTCGTGGGCGGCTTCTGCTATGCTGGTTTCTTAAGTGGTAAGCTGTGTGTGTGTGTGTGTGTGTGTGTGTGTGTGTGTGTGTGTGTGCACATGTGTGTGCTTGAAGGCTGGAGGTCAATTCAGGTATCATGCTTCAGACACCGTCATCCACCTCCTCTGAGACAGGGATTCTCACTGTCCTAGATCTCATCAGTTGGGCTAAACTGGCTGGCCAGTGAACCCAAGTATCCCTGTGTCTCCCCCTCTCCACCACTGATATAACAGACACATTTGGGGCCTGACATTTTTGGGGGGAGTGTGAGGGGGGGAGAATTAAATGTGGGTCCTCTTGCTTGCAAGGCAGAGTGCTTTGCCAACTGAGCGATCTCAGGGAGTAAATCTTCACACCTGATTCGTGATTGTGAGCTTCTGACTAGGAGGAAGACAGTGCTTCCCAACAACAAAAAATGCAATGAAATAGAACTTCCTGATGCTATAATTTAAACAGTAATATGAAGTAAATGTGACTAATACCACATTCGACATGCATGGTGATTGCCAGTGCTTTTCTAAAAGCATTATAGCACAGCCAATTATTAAACTCTGTGGTGGCCAGGTGGTGGTGGTGGTGGGTGGTGGTGGTGGGTGGTAGTGGTGGTGGTGGTTGGTGGTGGTGGTGGTGGTGGGTGATGACAGACATCCAGTTGCATAA